TCTTTCTGGTAAGCAAATTATCTTCATTTTAAGTTAAAAATTTGATTCTCAAAACTTTAACTGTCAGCTCCCCAATTTATTATTTTTCTTTTCATGTCCCACTAATTTTTTTAAATCACTTTCTAATTCTAGCAATCCAAATTTTTATTACCAATCACATTTTCAATTTCGGATATACTTTATTACATTATATTTGTTTAAATTTTGTTTGAAATTCACTTTTTACGAAAATTTTTAATTGATCATATAGGTACCAATTTTTATTTTTTATTTTATCTTTTCTTTTTCAATTTCAACACGCCGCTGATCCTTTTACCTTTTTCACTTTAAATATTCAGTTTGTTGATTAACTGATCTTTTTTAAAGCAAATATTTACTATTTACTCATTTGTACATTTCGTTCACAGAATTCAAATATCTATTTAATTTGTCAAGAAAACGTTTCAGGACTTATAAACAACCTCTATTGGTATTTTGTTTACTACTTTACTATTTAATAATGTCTTTAATATGTGAGCAGACTTCAACATTGGGTATTTACGATAATATGCGTTGGTATTTGGCTTATATTAAGTTCAAGGCTAAAACCACACATTGAAAGTAATCTTACCTTAAGATCCAACTTTTGGCGCCAATAAAATTAGAAGATGTAACTAATGTTATTGCCATTAGATCAATTTAACAATTAAGAAACTTTTAATTATAGATAGATATAGATTTCAATTTCAAAAATAATTCGGGACACGTTATGTTTACAGTCCCTGGATAAATTCTGAGTAAGGGCTCTTTTTATTTTCCACAACACGTAAACGAAATAAAAGATTAATAAAAAATTTAAATGTAAACATGTTTGGTCTGGAAAAAATTGTACTTGTTGAAAAGTGCTGCTTTCAAACATTTGTTCCTAACTTTATCGCTAGTAGGCACATGTACTATAGTTACTATAGTTTTCAAAAAATATTTTCAAAATTCTTAGATACAATTTAGGAATACGTTTCAGAATCTCTGTACACTTCTCTATAAATTTAGTTTCCAAATATATTTTCTAAAAAAAATAAAACCGATATAAAATTTCAAAACCTAAACACTTTTTGGGTTGATTCTAAAAAAGGTCACGTCACGCAATCAACGACTTGCCAATATAGAATTTCAAAACCTAAAGACTTTTTGGTTTGAGTCTAAAAAATAAACAAGTTTGATTGTCATTACTTCAACATGAAATAGGGTAATCATAAATGAACAAAAATGTTGTATAATACAGGGGCGTAGGATTAACAGTTTTCAAAATACAGCGAGTATTAATATTGAGGAGTTTCATCACAATGTGACAACAGCGCTTAACCTAACGCTACACAGCTGATGCATACCATATATGTACGCGGGTGACTTGTTCTACGGAAAAAATGTAAACAAGTTTTTAAATAAATAAAATAAAATGTATCGATTTTGTAGTACAAAGATAGTGTTGTGATTAAAGTTTAGCTCGAATTTTAGTAATTATGAATCTCTTAAAACAGGAACTTAACTATTATTCAAATTATGAATTTGAAAAATATGTAATTAAAGTACCCGAAGATTCACGTCATCCAAATAATCATACGTATTAAAAACAATTTATGTACTTGCCAAAAAGCAAAATTCAGTAATTTGTACAAAACAAACTATATCATATGCTCAAAATGTCCACCACCATTTTCGATGCATGCACGACACCTTCGAATCCAATTTTCGCGCACTCGCTGGAAAACACCTCAAGAATGGAAATAGTGGTACGCAAAAAACACTCCGACACGGTCGAATCCAGATTAGTACCTCGTGTTAATAAACCGACGCGCCGTTATCACATTGCTCGATATGAATTTTATCAAATTTTAAATTTTTTACAACGCTTATTATTTTTTAGAATTAAGCATAAACAAGTTCAAAAAAGTGATAAACATTGGTATTCTATGCACGCAGTTATGTCAATATTCCTTAATTAATCAAACTTTTTACATCAAGATGGTTGAGTTTAGGACGCATGTCATATAAGTTTTTTTGTTTATTTTAATGTATTCAATCGTCTGTTAAAATTAAGGCAGTCAAACTTTTAACGCCCGTATTTTGCCAGAACTTGCAAAGCCCTCCGATCTCGTGAAATACCCCGCCCCCCCACTTGAAACCAAGGCTGCTTATATTTAAACTTCTTTAAACTGATTATTGTCTGGCGACTCCTGACTATGATTTTAGGTATTTACTAGATATTGGGGGTGTAGTTCAATGTTGATACAGTATACAACCTGTGAAGTTAGTTGTTTCAGACAATAGAATCAGTTAAAAATATGCAATACTTTTCAAAATAATGTCATACACTACACTTTGTGTGAAGTGTCTGTAGAAATATAATAATAAAACTAGTTAATGGTGTATTAAAGTTAATTAATGTGAACTGTATAAGCAATTCTGCTAAGAACTCATAATATAAATTTGTATTTGATTTTAAAAATATTATTTCAACTTGTGTCGTACTAGACTATGCCTATTATTGCTTTCTATCTTTTTGTTAGTAAATAAGAGGACAGTAGTTTGAGATTTTAGTTGAGCTACCTATTAATAGATGGCATGGTTTAACACATCACAGCCGTCCACCAAATTTGTTGAATTATTTCCAATTAAATAATGATTTCGTATAAAAATAAAATACAGGGCAAGTATATTGTGTCGTAATATTTAACTTTCTATTAATATCTAAAAAGGTAGCAAACTCACCATTATTTGCTAAGATATTTATTTTTCTTAAAAATATCGGAATGTAGTCTTCTATAGGTATTAGTTCTTCAATAAAAAATTATTTGCTTGCAGATAATTTATTATTCCGTTCACCAAACAATACAAATTATGCAGCAACTACCATTACACCGTTTAAGGATATCAGTAACTAATAATTTAAATAAAAGACTAATAAGTTCAATGAAATATAGCCATTTAAACTACTTGCAGATCTGATCTACTCCTAGTTTTATTGTTGCAGTGTCCGTTTGATCACGCTTTCCATATCGAGATTTGGCGCTTGTGTCACGACTTGGACTATTATTTCCTTTATGGAATCGTTATGAGCCTTTCTTAACGGCCATGCCCATATACAGGGTGTTTGATGTAACCACAGTTAAAGTTTTATGATCTCTAAATTTAAAATGAAAAAATATGAGCATGTCTATTCACTTCACTTTTCAATAACGAGATGACAATTGTTATCTCCTGGATAACGCTTTAATTTTATCTTTACTACGTTAAGCAGACAGGTTATAATATACCTGCCTGCAGAATTTAGTACTTTTGAAGCCATAGGAAAGCAAATGCGCAACCAGACACTATCTCATTTTGTGACGTTCACTTGACATGATTCTCTATAGAATTAATAGACACTAGACACCCTGTGGTTTAATTCTGAGTTCAATTTAGAAACAAAGATATCTTTATTATGGTTTAACTGCTAAACGTAAATGCATGTCAAAAAATATAAGTACAGCCTGAAACTTTGTTAATTCCAATGTCTGTAATCGTATAGAGACAAAAATAAGGTCTATAAAAATGTAGGCAATAGTTTTGTACATTTAAAAAATGTGAAACCTAGAAAATAGGTATATATAACGTCATAAATGAGTTCAGTAGGTACTATGATCCCTTTTCTATTAGTTTATTATGATTTCATGTCATAGAAAACCTTAGTAATAAACTACACATACTTTTCAGAGTTGACAAATATATAAAATTATTATTTTGCTTCTATATTTAATAATAATCCGAAGTTGTCAGTCAGTTTAAGTACTTCAAAATTATACGATAACGGATAACCATTTAGTAAGTTACTAAATTACATGCAATAGTAATGAGGTATACAAAACAACATATTTTAATTTTACACAAGTGTACCTACATACAAAGTGTAACTAAACTCCATGTTTAAATTTTAGTGGCAGATCTATGTTACACACTAACAATATAAGTTTCTCTAAACATATGTCCGGAAACCTTTCATTTTCGATGTAGAGAATTTTCAAAATTATTAAAGACTTGTAAAGAATCACACATTGTTTGTCAAGTTGCAAAACAATTGACGAAAGTCATAAAAATATTTTATTAATTCGGAGATAATATAATAATTTCATTATTATTTCTATTTAAAAAATAATGGATGATTTTGCATTTTTAACAATAATTACCTTAACTAACTAAGCTTATTATTTTATTATTTATCTTGAATTTAAATTCCAACAAAATGAAGCAATAACACACTTTTATAAAGAGGTTTTAATAGCCACCCTGTCACATTATTCAAATTTAGAAAAGTAAAAAAATTACTATGAAAAATTATATACATTCAGTCGTAAATTGCATTTCGTATTTAAAAGAGATTCACTTTAATAAAAAGAAAACACTTTCATTTTCACTTTGTCTCAAAAAAGAACTACTCTGTTCTCATACATATTTATAGTAAATTGTTAAAATTATTATTAAGGTTTGGCCAAGCATTGTGATTTCACCCTGTAATATTCAAATGATAATAATTAATAATTAATAAAGCTCTAAAACGTAAATGATGGTAATGATAATTATTGTAGTTAGCATCTTATAAACCAATATGAATACATAATTGAATTTACAGTTGCCTAAGTAAAAGGGGTTACATATCTTTGTTTTATAAATTTTAATTCTGATTAAGTATTTATGAAAATTTCTTTATATTACACTTTATATTTTACTTCAATGTCAGCAAAAAGTTTTAATTAGGTGCCTATTTGTTTATAAATTTATTTTCTAAGCATTTTAATTTGCGCCATCTAGTGGTATTCAGTGTAAGCACTCTTAGATACTGTAGTAGAATTCTAGTATCAGTCAATAGTGCTATTGAACTTCTTCAAAACAGAGGGCCATAAATGCTTTTCATTCGTTTAAAATTTGGAGATACAGTCCCACCTGTGCTCTTGCTGGCGAGCAAAGCAGAAATCTGCGGGCATTCGAGCAGCTGTCAGTGAATCATTAATGGCGTGGTGTTAGTGGACGTAGGAAAGAACTTGTTACGAAAACAATATCAAAAAATCATTGAAAATGAGTGCTAGGGGTATTTTGCCCACGTATCAAAGGTTCGTAAATGGTATGCCGGTTCCGTTTTCCAGAAGATCCTTTCGCCCTCGCGAGAAATACGTTATATTTTTAGTTTTCGTAACATTTGGGTTAGTATGTTTTGGTACATTCTTTTTCTTACCGGAGTTTCGTACCGGGGGTACAGCGGAAAGTGTATACAAAGTGTATGATCAAATAAAACGGGCCGCCCCAGAATTATTAATTCCTCCACCGCCTCACCTCGAAGACAGCCGCGAATCCCCAAAATTGATCAGGCACGAAGAAGATTTTCGTGTCGATCCCCACGTTATAGGTGACAGGGAAAAGTTGAAGGCTAAGATTGACCAGGACGGTGAGTTAAAAGTGCTCGAAAGACCTGACATGGGGTTCCAAAGGACATCCTCTACAGCTAGGCAACCCATTGTTGCTAATCAGGTAGACGAAAATGTGGGAGCGGAGGACCTTGGGGGGCCAGAAATTGTCACTGTGCCCCCTGCACCTAGTGATCATTTCCCTCTTACTATCGGTGGTGAAGATAAAGATTCTACTGCCAGAGAACGCAGGGACAAAGTCAAAGAGGTAAGGTTTTTTTTCACCTAAAATTAAGGACGGTGTTTCTATTTTAAATATTTAATCAGGGTATTTATTTTGGTTGAAGTACCTATATTTTGTATGTAAAAGGTGTTATTATTGCTCGTACACATGTTAATCGTAGTCGACAATTTATCTGTTTAATTGTATTCGTTATTTCTGAATTATATTTACCACAACATTATAATATCCGCCTACATAAAATATATTGTTATGAATATAGCTGAAGTGGTTATTTCGGTTATTTCTTGTATGCCTATGTAGTATGAACCTATCCAATGAAAAATGTTATTTGCCAATATTAATTATGTAGGTACCTAGACCTAGGTAATTATTTTTTTTATACAACGACTAATCCAAGTAGGCACCTAATCAGAACTTTATCTGAGACTTTATCTAATCGAATCAATTGTTATATCATGATGATTTTATTTTAACATATTTATTTGCTTTCTGGACAGATAACGCTAAAATCGTTTATTAAGTTTATTAGCAATAAGTTTTCCACGAGTATTGACGGTTCTAAAATTCACCAATTTTATTGAAAATAAACGTATATTTTGCACGAAGGACGAAGATAAGAAAGCTCGTAAAGAAACTACTTTAACAAGAATAATTTCATTTGGCAAAATAAAATGAAATTATCGCAAAAAATGTACATATACACAAATTTTTGAAGAATTCCTAGGTACTAAGTTTGTAAAATACACCAGCTAGGTAGGTATAAGTATCTCATTTAAAAATACATTTTTTATTGTGCGTGTGTGTGTGTGCTGTTTAATTGTGTCCATTTCCGGTTAGTTTGTTATAGAATTTCAAACAGAATAAACGAATCTTTTCTGTATAAATAAAAAAAGCACATATCAACTTGAAATTTAACCTTTCAATATCAACAATATTTATTACATATTCAAATGTGCATAATATTTATAAATTCTTAGACTACCTATTTAAAACTAATATTTGAACACATACCTACCTACGTGTCAGGTCTTCTATGTTTATTTATAGGATAGCATTTCCCTAATATGAAATGTTACAAATACTTTTAATATACACACTTGAAATCGAACTTGAAACTATTTGTAAAGGTTTTGTGTTAGCTACATCTTAATTAGTTTTTCCCCGAATTCTAATAAAAAAATTAAATTCCTTAGCTTAATCATTCGTATATATACACTTCGATATAACAGATCATTAAGTAAGAAAACGAATACTCGCAAAATGAGTGATGCTCAGCTTAAGAGAACAGTTATATGATCACCCAAATTTGGATGATCACTTATATTATTACTTCAATACCAAATTATTCGATCCTACAGCGCCTATTTTTAAAAGATAAGATTCTTGTGTTTCATCTATAAGCTTTGTATCGAATATGTAGTTTTAAATTTTATATTTATATGTTTAATCCCAAAATTTTTCCAATAAGATTCCCTGAGACTTGATTTTCGAAGTCGTATTAGTAAAGCAAATGTATCGATTGTAGATGTACTGATTAACAATTAATTACCGATGAGAATTATTGTTTTTGAATGAAAATCAATCATACTTGCTGCTGCTGAGTGGTTAGATAAGTATGTACTGCATATACCTATTGTTGGTGAGATATAAAAAATAATAATAATCAATACCAGTAAGTAATTAAAAAGTGTTCACCTTGTTTTATTAGAAAAGCGTTTCGTCCAAAAAAATTGAACATACGTAATGTTGCAGTCGTTGCCTCTTTCCTCATTTGAATATTTAGCGTATACTTTGTTTAGATGTACAGAAACACAAATCAAGTCAATAAAATCCTTTATTTACAACAAACTTCACGGATAATAAAACAATAAATAAAAACCATATGGTTGGCCGTCACGTTTTGATATGGTTCGTGCTCCATAAATTATTTACAAGATGCGTATTCCATTTTATCTTTCAGGAAAAGGTAACGAGAGTGGTTACGGGACGCCTTTAAGGCGTACAATTACGTTTAACACGAAGAAGTGCCTTTCCTGTATCATTCTTCGCATAATTTATTCGGTATTGGTTTATGCGCTAGGCGTTAGTCGTAAGTTAACTTTCACTAGAAAACCCAGTGTCCATGTGTGGTCGAGCAGGAAAAACCGTGCATAATATTGTCACAGCTATTTCATAAACAAAGTGGACGATGGTGAACAATGTCGGTGTATCCCAAAAATAAGTGCCTCTCTGCAAAAAAATATATTATTTTCACTTATTTTATTAATACTTATACAGACTTATACTTGAATGAATGTTTTTGTCATTTTTAAGTCTCTTAATAAACAAATTTGGTGTAAACAATTAAATAATAGTATTGAAACACCTACTCATCATGTAATATTAAAGAGTTACATGTTCAATACAATGACGAAAATACAACACAAAAAGCAGAATGTTAGCAATAATTTGAGGGGTTTATTAATTTTTTAAAGGGATGGATTAAATAAAAATAATTTCATATTATTGTTAACCACAAAACTAACATAAGTATCGATATTTAACAATTACACAGGGCAACAAAATTTGACGAAAGATTACACCCAAAAACCAGACCTCACTTGCCCAATTTTTTTTTGTGCGCACAATCCAAATCCGGCTTCAGAATTGTTCCTATACGCCACGTTTCCGAGATATCCTAACCTAAAACTGAAAAAAAAGATTTTTTTGCTATATTTGAGCTTATGTCATAGAGCGAAAACGAATCATGCCCTCTAAAACTACCACTTTTACCCTTCAAAACGCATTTTTCAGATTTGAAAAATCTTTTTTATTCGCGGAGATATCATTGAATAAAGTTAGGTACTTTAGCGTTTACATAACAGTGGTACTAAAATTGAAAAAAGTTCTTCAGAAAGTGGAAGTAATATATTTACATGTTTTTTGGGTCGCCCAATCCGAATCTGATCTCCAAATTATTCTATCACTTTAGGGTTCTGAGATTTCCTAACTTAAAACTGCAAAATCAACAATTTTAGGCCGAACTATTGGTATTAAGCTCTATAATTGTAACACGGAGCCATTTAACAGATTCGGATTCTGCATTCTGACCTTTTGGCCAGTGAGGTCTGGTTTTTGGTTGTAAAAATTGTTCCCTGTGTTATTTATCTATCTTGTTTTTTTTTATGCGAACTTCAGTGAAAGCAACAATTTTTAAATGAATCGATTCAAAATTTCTTAAATTCTAACATAAAATTACCTATAAGAAAATCAATATTTTTATTTTTTTTATTTTTTCATACTTTTTATATAATTATGGATTTTGTGTATTGATTAAAGGATTAATTATTTTGTAAAATTATTATTAATATATTTATTTATAATTAGTATAAAAGTATATAAAATATTTCCATAGATAAGTACTGACACTAGATTTTTTTTTACAATTCATTACAAATTTCAACTTCGATTTGGGGGTTGAGGGGGGTTAAATTAATTTTGATATTTTTTTTATTGAGAACTATCGTCTAAAACATTTCAAATAAAAGAAAATGCAGACAATTTTTTTCAAAAAATTCATTTTTAGGGGAGTAGGGGGTGGTTTTACAAGGGTACAAATAATCCAGAAGTAATTTTTTCGTCGAGCTACCCCAAATTAAAAAAAAAAGAAGGTTCGACGTAACATGGAAGCTGAGATATTATAAATTTGACATTGTCAGTTTTTTTCTGGTTGAGAGGAAGATCCCCCCCACCACCACTCCCTGAAGGGCTACTGCCGCGTACCCTTACTTTGACGGGCTCTGGATTGATCAATTACCGGCAAATTCAATTAAAATTAACACGGCATAAAGTTTAAACCTTCATTTACAAAATGTTAAAATTTCAGGTCTTAATGTTTATAACAAATTGCTCTGTGATTTTAAAAACAAAAATTGCTAACTCCAGATCAATTGATCGTAGAAATTTGTTTTTGTTTTCAATTTGTAGATTTTTTTACGAGCTTTTGAATGGTGCTATATAACTTCTTTCAAAAGTAAAAAACCGCGTTAGAATTATTTTATTTGTTTATTAGGGAAAAAAGTGCCTTCTGTTATACAATTATATACAACTAAATTTGAAAAACAAATTATTTTTTTTTTAACTAGAGGATACTTGGTGTCCCTTCGAAGAAAATAAGTCCAAAAGAAATATTTCAGTCATAACCCTGCCCCCGGAATAGTCATTTGAAAATGGATCTGTTTTGCAAAAATGGGATAAATAAATGGACTTTTGCAAAAACTATTTGACCGATCGAGCCCATCTTTTGCACATCTCTTAAGGATATAAAAACTCACATTTTGGGAAAGTTTGGTAAGATTTTATTAATTATTTTAAAAACAATTAAAGAAAAAACACTTTTTCCGTTTAATTTTGCAATAACTTTTTTGTTTATAAAACAATTTTAACTTATAAAGTCTCATTTTAAAGATGAGTTTCTCTAGATCAAATCGTCTGTTGAACTTTTTTGCTAAGATTAATAGTTATTTTACAATAACGCGTAGAACGAAAATTGACGAATTTTTGACCTATTTGTTGATAAAAAAACATGGCTATACTTTTTCATGACCCATTTGATGAGACACCTCTTGTATCATCATTCCCAAGACTTTCCAACAATAAAATCACGCCCAGTAATTTTCACGAGTTCTCCATGATTTTTTACCTTTATTTCTTGGTCCAGTAGCTGATTTCAAAATGTCAGCAGTAACATCATCTTCAAAGAAAATAGGTCCAATTATTCTTCGTCGAGATATGGTTACCCAAACTCCTATTTCAACAGAATGTAAGTCGTTTCCATTTACACATATGGATTCTCCGCAGACCACGTACGATAATTTTGTGAATTTATCTTTCCACTAAGATGAAACCATGCCTCATCCGTGAAAAAGTTATATCGCTTAAGTTGTTAAACCTGTTACAGGTAGTTCACTCTTTTTTCATTATCTAATGGTAATAATTCTTGCACCATGGACACTTTTTATGGATGTAAATGTAAATTTCTTACA